AGCAAAATTTTGCTTTCAGGAAGTCTTCATCAGAGCTAATAAGAAGTTGCGCAGCGAGATGGTTACAAATGCACCGTTTGATGTAGACGTTGGTTCACCACATGGTTGGACTTTGACGTTCTTCGGGGATTTTTGCTATAGAGAAACGCAATAGTTTAACTCGCTTTATGACGACAAGTCTAGTTCTACGCCGCTGTTTACACTCCGAAATACTTATTGTTCAAACTTGTGGATGGGTGCAGTTCAAAGGCATTGTTCCCTTATCGTTAGAAGCGTCATATTTTCCGCTGGATTCTGAAAGAGTGCAGTGGAAATAGAATAGGTTCAGATACAATCCGCTCTAAAGCGTTGCTTCAGACTGCACAATGGCAATGGCTATGAGAGCGCACCGACTGTACGGCCTTAGTCGGTGATGTGATATACCCAGGCGACGTAGACTTGAGAAATGCATGGTATCGTATTAAAAAGGTCTACGGTACTATTACTGTGAACGAAATATGGGAGTACGATTTGGGCTTCCTGAAAAACGTCACTGTTGACGGATGGCAACGTGAGCAGCTGCATTCCATTCTGTTACCTGATAAAGATAAAACGAGCAAGTATTAAAAGTGCCTCGTTTGTTTCAGCTCGTGTGGTTAGAATAATAAACAATCACAATTTGAGATATATATCTGAGGTCCTAAAGATGAAAGTGAGCGGGCCCGAGCCACTTTTCTTGGTTCCACAACAACACAAGTTTTTGTCATACGGTAGACGTGATAAAGAAAATCGAGCGAAAGGTGGAAACGAAGCTCTCGTGGGACAAGAACTGCTGTAAGTCATATTCTGTCTGCGTCTTATATTTTTTTCCATGCACCACTGCATGTTTCGCAAAATACAGCAAGCAAAGTAAATCCAGCAATTCAGTAGTAGTGCAAAGTAGTCATGGAGTTAATAGTGAGTAGTTCGATGTCCACACTCTGCATCCAAATATAGTCATGATCCCTGTGAACAATTGTTAGGAAACTCTCGAAAAAAAAACTTGAGCGATTTTCTAAAACATTAGGTCTAGGGTATGAATATTGTGCTGCTTGAAAGAGAATATCATCTAGTTTCCGAAAGCCATGTATGTATCTATGCCTCAAGCTTTGTCTGAACGAAGCTGTGCTTAGTAAAAAGTGCGGATTTTCTGAAAAATGTAGAAGAAATTTCCCAAAATTCCCCCGCTGTTTTTGGACTGAATTTGGCACGCAAGGTAAACGATAGCTGTAGCTATTTTGGTTCGAACCTCATCAGCACTTACAGACTACGCTCACCAATAATACATGACCAGAAGCCAACGATTCACATAGTTAGAAGTTTACAATTTTGAAAAGTATGGATGCTCAAGTCCACAGTTCTATGCTCCGCTTGAGTCTCACAACACGCGACGCATTCGTAGAAACAGGATAACTGCTGCTGCTGCTGCTAATAAGGGAGGGACGTATAGACACCCTCTTCAGGTGCAGGACCGATCAAAGTTACGCGCAATGGTGCCTGGAGAGAAACTCTACACTCACCTTCACGAATCCTGATCACGTATGAGGTGAATGGGTGCGCAGATGCAGTAGGATGACTCCTTCTCTGCTCTAATTTGCACGGGGACGAGGCCGAATGGTTGTGCACCCCGTGGAGACTCCAAGCCCCCACCTCGCATTGTCGCGCTGCCAACCACGCACGGGGTACAGCATCGTGATGTATGAACTGTGCTGCCAGTACGACACAATCCCCACCTGAAAGAGGGTCCCGGCGCGACCTCCCCCTTCCACAGTACCTACTAATTTGCCATATTTTCCAGTTTTTCAAGATTTTCTCCGTCGAACGGGGAGGTAGGTGCGGGGAGGGAGAGGGGATAGCTAGTGTGAGACGGAAAAATTTCTCTGTTTTCCCCCAGCTTCCTATTACTTTTTCCGGACTTACCGAAATTTTTCCTACTTTTCTTTTCCCAAAAAACCTTGCTGTCGAGCAGAGGGAGTATATAGTACGCATGAGAAATTTTCGTTCCAACGCGACAAATTTTTCCGAAAGGTACATGCGACCCTCCCCCTCTCCCAACAACGACCAACTACGACCTCCCCCTCCCCAGCGGAAAAGTACGACCCCCATGTGTTTCACACAACGACGCTGTACCCCGACCACGCAACTAATCGTGGTCGAACGCGCTACTTGTCTGCGCCCTCTCATTTCTAATTGTTCTCTACCACCGAGTATATGCTTCGGAGCGGGGCCTTGATATCGAGTGCTGCACTCTGAGGATAACGCGGACGGAGTATGGTGCCGGCACCGTGTCCCACTACTCTCCAGCCCAGTTTCCGTGCATTTCTGAGAGAAGAAAGTGGAACGCATTTGCGGTGGCGAACCCATTCACCACGCAAATGAAAACGACGTCCTTGGAGGTATGTGTACATGTTGTCTCTAGCACTGTTCCGGATATTATCATTGGTGGAAAAGGCCGCCCCGGAAAGAATTCCACTCCCCGCGCTTTCACACGCCCTTTCGTTTGCAGGGACTATGAGTGAATGTATGTACCTACACTCTAGTTCGCTGCGGACGGTTGGGCGTGTCAGGCAGTATGAGTGTGTCACCCCGTCAAAGCCGTTCTCTGCCTTCTTGTTGAAGCGCGCATGCGACAAAAAGTGGTAGAAAACGAGTAATACGAACGATATGATACAGTCATATCATTTGCTCGCTTTAACAACTGGTGGAGAACGGGTTTGGCACCGCGCCAAACTCATCCCGCCTGACACGCCCAACCGTCCGCAGTGAACTACACTACATGCATATTTTCACAACACCTCAAGGCTTTGATACCTCAAGCTGTTTCAACCCTTTTCTCGCAATTAAATCTTCAGTGCATATTTCAGCAGGTACCACTCGTACGGTAACGTAAGCAAACATATAAAATAACTTGTTAAGTGACTCAATGTAAAGGAGGACTTGTCAGCATCAATTATCTAAAAGGAATCGATAAGCTCTGTAATACCATTGAGGGTGATTTGGTCGTTGAACATATGAAAGGTATGTAAATTTGTAATTTTTGTATTGGTAATTTCCTAGATTAGATTTCCTACGATCTTTGGTAGTGGTAATTTCCTAAAGTAGAAACCGTGCTGAGTCCCCATTCTGAATCCTTGCGAGACAATGGATGAACCATCGCGATACCTGCGTTCGACAACTTCGTCTAAGGGATGATCCGCGGTCAGCGGTCCTCGGTATGACATATCAGAGAACGCTAAGATTGTGTGGGAAGGTAATGCCCATACTGTAAGGACAAGCTAGAAGTGTGCACTTCCGGTTGCTTTAAGTCTGGTAAGGAAAGGAGCTAGGGGGCATAAATGCTCACAGTGGCCACCCCAAAAAAACCATCCCTCTTTCGAAGTGATTTCGCCTCCAGACTTCGCTCTCAAGATATACCGTAGCATGAAATGGATAGCCATTTGTTTCTTTGTGGGATAATAGTGATCATTACAAGGAGTCAGCGGAGTGGACGGTCCCTACACGCGGTCTTTTCGCCTTTTACAGGGGATCCTATTGAAGGCGAGTCGAGATTTCCTTCGGCATCTTCCCATTTCCCCTTCACGAACGAGTCCATGACCAACTTTTTTCCTATATTTCAACATCATTATATTAGCTCCTCATCGCGGACCGTGACTTTAACAGCGGTTTGCCAGTTAGTGAATAATCAACCAAGCTAAATAAGTACCGAACCGTGTTTGTAGTTTGCAGCATCGGAGAACAGAATAGAGGCCGCAAAGGTAAGTAGCAAAAGAATCGTAATTCGCCGCGTCAGAAGACATCGCGTGCGACGTCGCGCCCGCTAATGACGACGATCTTTGGTGTGATTAGCCGGTATTCGTCGAGAATAGACAAAGTATGGACAAAATTAGACATAAGCGTCCACCATGTCCTTGTCTACATGAAATCCGATGCTCCAATCAAAAGGGTAGTGCAAATTAAGGAATTAGGAATAGAGGAATTGTGCTCCGGAATTGAGGCGCGCGACAAAGTGGAGAATTGCGATTCTCTTGCCTATCTCGCTTGGAAGAATCGATCTAGAGAATAGGAGATCTTGGATTACGCTGTTCTAGAATCGTTGACTGTACTGCTGTTCGAATTTCGTAACTTGAAAATTACATTCTACAGAAGGTTCAACAAAAACAATTTGCAGCAATACCGCGAGATTTGGAAAAGCTGGCTCAAATCGAACGAATAAATGGAACCATCATTGTAAGAAAGAACACAGCTCTCCCTGACATGTCTTTTTTGGAGAACTTGGAAGAGATAACCAATTCTAACAAAAGAAGTAAGCATAAAAAACGCTCGTCATTTCCCCTTCCACCCAAGCGGATGCAGTGGAATCAATTCGAGTACTTGAAAGCATGGTTCAGGATACTTTAGAACCTGTCCAAAAATAGTAGCAGGGGTGCTACATAGTGGGAATATGACGAAAA